GCCACCTAATGAGAAGGAAGGACTCCCTGGAGAAGACCCAAATGCTGGGAACAATTGAAGGCAAAAGGAGAAGGGGATGGCAGAGGTTGAGGTGGCTGGATGGGGTCACTGGGGTGGTTGGTGTGCACTTGGGTGGACTCTGAGGGATGGTGGAGGACAGGAGAGCCTGGCGGAATGTTGTCCATGGGGTCGTGAAGGGTCAGACATGACTTAGCAACAGAATAACAAAAAAAGGTGACTCCCCCAAAAATACACCAGTGTGCTAAATGCTAATTATAATATTCCAGAGGTGGCCAAATCGAGGCTTGGGAGTCCCATGTGGCTCTTTGAATTTACTTTGTGGCTTGTGGCTTGCTGCCCATGGGCACCCACTTGCTGCTTGCCACCGCCCACAGGCACCCACTTGCAAGTCTCAAACATCTGACATTTACCACATGTGACTCTTCTGTTGAGCAAGTCTGGCCACCCCTGTCAAATTCCCACTTGACATACTTAGGCTTTTGGGAGAAATGTTTTCCCTTTGTTAGAGATCCGTAAGTGTGCCAGAGGAAACAGAATAGGCATTAAAACTGCTTCAGTTTTTAATGTAGGCAGGCTCACAGAAAAAAGAGGTGCCACAAAATACAGTAGATGGCATGCATAACTTGAAGGGTTGTTGCTCAGGTTTTCGAATACAGCCTGAAACTGTGGGATGCAATATAAATAATATTCTGTGATTTAGCTCATTAAACTGAAAACAATTTGAACTGAGAGTAAGTCCACACTCAACATCAAAAGAACCATAATACCGCAAGAGCGTCCTCCAACACACTCTGAAGTCAGAGCACCTATTTTTTAGATCAGGTCCTAAATACTCCAGTGAAACACCTTTTTAAACTAAACTTAAAACAGGAGAATCCTCAAATCTAAGAAATGGGAACTGTATGCTGCTGAGGTTAAAAAAAGTTCACTCTGCTTGATTCTGCAAGCTGTTACTTCGGTTATTAAAGTCACAGATTGCCTATAGGTTTGGCTGCTGCCATAGAGGTGATGGAGCATGAAACCTCACTTAACTCCTGTGCCGAGATTCTGCCAGGCACTCTGACCACATTCTTACCATCACATCTTTGGCTTTTCTTGTGTCACATATAATAAAACTTGTATTTTAGAAAGACATATTTCACTGTCTAAACAGGAATTGACCAAAGCCTGTGTGCGTGCACACACACAGAAGCATTTCCTATGAGCTACCAAGATGCAAACAGACCAGTACAAATTTTGAGTTGACAAGGGTCCATATTTATGAGCAATGTACTGTGTTCCATTTGGGTCTGCACTTCTTCAAGGAAAGTATCCACTTATTGGGTGATTTGTATTTTAATGAATTCTCTGTGTTGCTTTTGCAGCACGCTAGTTAAAATGCCATATTGAATAACAGCAACTCCCTCCTAATCCACACCTTGCACTGCCATAAAACCCACTCTCTGGGTTTTAAATCATCAGATACAAATGAGAGAGAGAGAGAGAGAGAGAGAGAGAGAGAGACAGACAGACAGACAGACAGACAGACAGTGAGTTTGAGCATGTGGGTAGATGAGAGACAGAAAGAAAGAGAGAATGCTAGAATATGTGCATACATACCTAAATAAGATAAAATGCATGTCAGAAAGAAGTGAATATTGACTTAAGTAAAGAACTGAGAAAGAAAAGGAAATATAAAACTTGAATCAGGATCTGCTTTTTTCTTATTTATGCTTAAATAATAATTTTCTTTTTTCTTAGAGAACAACCCTGGGGACATGACTCTGGGGCCAAAGAATGGACAGGAAATACCCCTAAGAGTTGTTAAATGAAGTAACAATCTTTGAGGGTTTTTGCCCACCCAGTTTCAGAGCAGAATCCCCTTAAGAGAGTGGAATTCCAACTTTGCAGAGGGGGGACAGGGGTGTGTTGGGGTGCGTGTCCCAGTGGATGTGGAGAACATCCATGAATCCAAAGGAACCACGGCACTCTCAGCCCCCAGTCACACCCCCATATGAGGAAAGATTGAGACCAGCTCAAGAGTCTGGTGTAAACAATGGGAGGAAATTATTTATTCTCCATATGTAGTCAGAGGGAAAAAATACAGGAAGCCAGTAATACAGCTACTGCTTCTCTTAAGTCTTATATTAGGCAATGCCTAATGGCTGTCTGTATTTGGGAGAAAGTAACAATATGGATAAAGTTTGTGTTGGAAACTCTTTAATATTTATTAATGTACATGCTCTTCTTAATTATCTACCTGCTTCTTGGAACTTAATGCAATGTCAACATAAGTGGAGTTTCTGCAACATTTTGTCAGCTAAAAGATGGATACTACAATGCTGAAAGAACAAGTGGCAAATGGCACTGTGGATAACAGCTACAAACTACTTTGTCCTTCTAAGTGGCAATACTGGGGTTGCCTCATTTGGAATTAATTTGGTAATCTCACCATGGCCAGGTTTATCCTACCTGGAATGAACAGTGAACTCCTGAAGCTTTCTATACCATCCATTTAAAACCTACTGTTCATTGGATTCTAACAAGCTGCTGTTGATTCAGAACCCAGCAAAAAATGCCAAGTTTTAAATCACAACCAAGAGGCCAATTTTCTCTGGAAACCATTTTTCTGAACCAAAGCAGTAACTGATATTTTAAATGTAAGATCCATCAAATGGATCCTGTTCATAAATGGTCACCATAGAGAGTCAAGAATAAAAGTGCTTGCAGTCACTATATGACTTCATGCAACAAATAAGCAAAGATGCAGTCCTGTGCGTGTGTACTCGGAATCAAGCAGTCCCTCCTTCCAGGTGTGTGTGTGTGTGTGAGGTGGCTGTCTATGAGGACCTAAATCACATATTTGGAACCTTCAGTCAATTACGTGAAAAACAGTTTATTTTGCAAAGATAACTTAGCAACTTCTTATCTATCTTAGAAGAACATAAGAATTAAAAATTAAAAAGAGCATTAAATACCCAGGAAAGAAACACACAGACTAATCAACTGTCTACAACCCATACACATACCATAAGTTGGATGCCAGATACTTGCCACTCCAGTGCTGAAAACCTGCATTTCTGAGAGATGTGAGTGACAGGAGCAGGGCCAAGCATGTGTCTCTTTCCCACTCACTCAGCAGCCAACCTTCTGGCTTACAATTATGTGGTCGACTATGCCTGGCCCCACCCACATACAAGTGAGGCTTTCCACCACATTCGATGGCAGCTTAGGCACTGTGCCACCAGCACTAAGTGCTGAGGGGAGGGGCTGAATCAGAGTCCTGTTTTATTATAGGCAAGGGTAAAGAGCACTAGATTTAAGTACTATAAGTATTCTATTTACCAGAATTTATTAACATAGATGTCATTGAGTAATTTTTGAATTTGGGTTTCAGACAAAACCTGTTTACTAGCCATTAGAAAATCAATACATCTCTGAAAACAGTTTTTAAACCACATAATAGAAATCAAAACAAATGTTTAGTTCAAAATTTTGACTGTATTGTATTTCAGTAACATTTCCTTCTCCTGCAAAATAATGCCTATATCTACCTTCTCCTGCAAAATAATGCCTAATAATGCCTATATCTATCTTAAATTATTTCCAGGCCAATTTAAGAAAGAATATTCTCTGTTCAGTGAAGCCCTTTTTGCTGGATTATTTTTCCTTCAGCATAATACATGCCTCAAAAACACAGGCTCAGTGAGACCTTCTATTCAATCTCATATCTGGTATTCAGGTAGGGGCAGCACCAAATTTTAAACTATTTTGAAGCTCTGATTAGCTGTAGCATCAGGTGCCATTTATATTTGAAAATCAGCCTTTTTCCTACTAGAAGTGACATCATCACACAGCCAGCCAGATGTGTGACATCACTGAAGGCAAACTAGGCAAACGAATTGGGTACAATTCAAACTAAATTCTGAACTGGCTTCAGCTGTTACCAATACAGTTGTCACATATGGGCTATGCAGGCATTCATCTGCTTGCGTAAATGGCTAACGTGTGTAGAGGAATACATGCACGTAAGCTCACACAAGTGTGAACACCTAAAGGGGGCTCTGTAAATGTGTTCAGCTGAACCCTCTTCAGACTTTAGCACTCAATATGCAATGCTCTAACCTGGCGTGATGTGCTCAGAAATGCTTTTGTGCATGTCCACTTCCCCCTATGCAGTTTAGCCCTACATGTGAACAAGCAAATGCCTTCACAGGGCTCTATCCAGACCTGATCATCTAGGTTCTAGGCTCTAAGAAGCAGCATATTGTTCAAACTAAACATGATGGCACACAACAGCTTTTGGGGATCCTTCAGGAAAACTGTGGTGCCTGCTAAAGTTCCTTCTTCTTGCCAAAAATGTTAATTTGGTTTGGCGCCCATCAAATATATAAGCTCAGCTGGTTTCTAGGTTGGTTAAAATAAAACTGGGGGGAAAACATAGGTGGATGTTTTAAATAGCCATAGGTAAGAATCCCCAGGACTTCAGATTTCTTTCACTTTCTCTGTGTCCAATCTGTTTCAAATAGTGAAATCAGTCTTTTGGCTTGCAAACATAATAGCCAAGCTCATAGTTGAGACAGCAAGATATAGACATGGATGCTACAGAGAAGCCACAACAATAAATTGTCAGTGTGGTAAAATCATAGTTTTAGGAATAAGCACAATGCTGCACAAGCCTTCATAAAGAGCAGCCCTAAATAAATATGCATGGCTGAATTACCTGCATGTATATTACCAACAGATGATAAGGAAATGACCCTGAAGATAAGCAGCCTTGCCTGTTTCCACTTCATCTGCTTTGTTTTTAACATTTTGGCCTCAATTTAGAAAGAATAATCTAAAAGATTCCAGTCATGACTGCTACAAAAAACCTTTCCCTAACCAGGCTTGCATTTGCTTCAACTTTTCACTTGGCAACAGTCTACATTTTGAAACAACAAAAAGCCTATAATCCATCATCACCATGGCCTATAGAAGCCCATGGTTCTGTCTCTTACCTGTAATCTGACTCTGTCCTTGTGGATTAAAAGGGCTTGGTGCAGAGTTCAGAGGGGGCCGTGGGCTCTGAGTCGGGACCCCTACTCTCATACTGGGATGAGGAATGCGCCCTAAATCACTGAGACGCTCAGAGAACAAACTAGGCTTAGAGTCATCAAGCTTCTGTCTGTGCCCTGGAAACAGCAAATCATAAAATAAAAGTGTTGTTAGAAAGGCTGAACAACGTACTGTTAAATAGCTATTTCACCATTGCAAGGACTAAATGAGTCTGAGATTTAATCTAGGGCTGGTACAGATAGTGAAGTATGGACAACTTTGCTTATGGCAATATTCCTGCATGGAAGGTGCTTTTGTCATTAGCCTTACACATGAATAAATCACTGCATAATCTTCACAGCAATTTACATGAATGCAAGGCTGTTACAAGGCAGAATCTACAGGTCGGGATTTCGTGCTCTGTCAGTGTCTTTTTGAATCCACCAACACAAACTGTGGTCAATGTGCAAAATTTGCAGGAAGCATGAGCATAGTGGGCACAAGAAAATGTGGGAGAGTCATTCCATAGCAGTCCTGTTCACTAGAAGTTAAAACCAGGCAACTCAGCTTTTAAAACCAGAACGTCCTAAATTCTTTACTTAGCTCATTACTTTGTAAACCTTGGAGGAGCAGGAGCAGGAACGGGAGCGAAATGGCCCTATCACTTGAAGCTAGGCTTGCTGAAGGAAGGAGAGAAAGAGGAGGGCATATTGCCAAGGGACAGACTGTCAACACTGTCATTTAATGCAGCTGCTGGCCTCCACATTTCTCCTCATCTTATTTACCAGAGTTCCTCACTACCTCATTTTAAACTTCTGCTTTATATTTCTATTGCTGTAAGTTCTCTTGTCTGGTTAAAGCAATTTCACTTTTTATTATGTTTTAAATTGCTGTTTCACCTCGGTATGAATACTTAGATGAGCCATGCATTCCTATACGTGGCTACTAAGAAGTTAATCCCAATAAGAACCTATTCCCAGGTAATTATGTAACGGAATACAACTTTAACCCAGTTTTCTTTTAATAAATATTAATATATTATAACATTTCCCCTTTTAGAATTTGTGCTACTGTTTTATCACATGCCTGGCATACTATAGCAACTAAAGGGGGGTATTAAATGCTGTCAGTAGGGCTTTTTTGTTGGGTTTCATTTTGCATTTCCTTTTTCTGTGGAGTTGTCTTGTCCAGCATGGAATGAGGAAGGCAAACACTGTAGTAATATGGACTGACAGATCAGACCCTTGAAAAAAGTTTACTCTTTCCTTAGCAGCATTGGTCTTATTCCACCAGGGCAACCTATTCCCTCCCTACATCAATTAATACTTAACATTTCCCTTTTCCAGTTGAAATTCAATCTTGTGTGGCTACTGAACAATGAGCATGAATCCTAATCAGCTGTTTTCTTTTTTCTTTTGTTGAGAGGGCAGCCCCCTTAAGAGTTTTTAATTTTAATTTTGGACTTCTATAAACTTCAGAGTTCTCTCCCTCTTATTTTCATTGGTCCCCTTTTGGCTGTATTTCTGTTCACAGTAACCACCTGAGTTTGCTATTAGAGGGGGCGATGGGCAATTGGCAATCCAAGGGCCTAACATTGCCTGCAATGGCTTCCTGTCAGTCTCATAGCATGTTCCCAGACAGAAGAATTTGTCCTGAATAACCTTCAACTACTTCTTTCCAAGTTGTCTGAGTAAAAAAAAAAGTTCCAAGTACTGAACCAAAAGGAATACATTTTAAATAATATCTTAGATTACTTTTCATGAGAAACCAAAGTTTATTAAATAACAGAACCCTAACTATAACTTTACTGACTCATGGTCTGCCCCTTAAGTCCCTCAATATAGCTACAGTGAAGTCTGAATGAGGACAGATGGGATCATTCCCCTACCATGATGCCCCCACAGCCAGAGTGCTTCTTCTGCCAGCAGACCAGGTGCTGGATTACATATAGGAACAAGGATGTCTGTGTGCATGGCTCAATACATACATTTGCATGATCTCTACCCCGTAAGATGAGACCTGCTGGACCAGGTCCCATCCTGAAAACTACATTTCCTGGGGCTACACACAACCTGGAATGCTGTTAGTTAGTTCATCAAGTGCCAGAAGAGGACAAGATTCTCTCCTTCTACCCACTTCAATTCAAAACATTCGGGTTGAGATGGGGAGAAGACTGGAACAGGCTGGCTGGCAGAGAAGAATCTAAACAAGAGAAGAATCCAGGGGGTAGGGCTGTAATAGTCCCGTGTACTTGATTCCCATTTCCAAACACATGCACCTCTTGTCTTTCTTCCTAACGATGGAGCCTCAAGAGACCTTTGCAGCATGTGTGCCTTTCATCAGCTTAAGCTGGGACACCAACCACCTCTCCATCCGGATGGTAATCGCCCGGCCTTACTGACCTCCTGTTCAGATTGCTATGCACCTTTTACCATCCAGAAACTTTAGTTAGCACAGCACCTGGAAGCACAAGTAGTGGCTGGAATTTGGCATTACAGTCATATTATGCTCGGAGTATATCCTGCTCATTGGCTTCCAGTTCATTTGGGGGTTCAAAGGGTTGGCTTTAAGCCATGAAGCCTTTCCTGCTTGAATGCCACATTACCCAATGGACCACCATTCCCATGTGCCCCTTCTACTCATGCCCTGAGCATTTGTCAGGCACTCTGCTCTGAATGCTTCCTACATACTGGAATTTGACAAGGAACAGCTTGTGTATTGTGCTTTTTCATTCCCCCTGCACCCCTGCCCACTGTAGGATGCTGTTCTCAGAGAGATATGCCTGGCACATATTTTTTTCAGCATCAACTGAGGTTTGCTTTGTTTTTTTTAATTTTGGTTTTTTTAAAATGTGTTATGCATGCTGGTGGCCAGTTGTATCTTAAAAGTTGTTTTTAGTCTTTGTTAACCTTTGCATTTTTTCACTCTTTTGTTTGCTGTTTTTTATATTTTAGTCTTCAGTATTTTAAAATGCATTTGGTTTTCTTTACTGTTTTTAACTGCATTTTTATGAGAGCTTTGGCTTTATGGTATCTCACAAGCTGAATGAACACACTCAATCTTACCCCTTTTGTTATTGTGTTACTGGGCTTGGGAAAGGTACTGCTTGGTCTATATATGAGCACAATATATGGAAATATATTTATGTGTAATGAATAAAGCTGGAAACTGCCAAAGCTTTGCTCCTTTTCCACACTGTCATTATCTGTATATTTTTGCAGGACTGCTTAACTGTATGACTGACACATTCAATGACCTCCAGGATATAGTAAACTGCAATCAGCTACACCTTCTGAACTGCAACAGCTATTGAAAATAGCACCCACGTTCACACAGTGTGCTTGATTTGTGACATGATATAGGCAGTGGAGGTAGAGGGTGTCTCTCTACTTCCTGTCCTACCCCCAAGTAGGTTCAGCACTACAGGTTGCTTCTCCAAAGTGGAGACTGAAACACAAAGGATGAGCGGCCCCAGAGCTGCTGGAATCAGCTTCCTCTGTGGGATGCAGGGTCAAAGTGCCATCTGCCTGCAACACTATCAGGTACTCCTGATGAATAAAAGGCCTTTTGGGGAAGATGAAGTGTTTTTCCTGATATGCAGAAAAATGGGCACACCTAACATGACGCACAAGGAGTTTCATGTTAAGTGAGCCTTTTCAATCAGTTCTGGATCTATACAGAATTAACATCATGGGCATCTTTATTCTACCAAAACCATTTTTTTTCTTTCTGAAGTGAGATGGGGGAAAATACATTAAAACATGCACACAAGAGAATGTCCTAGAAATTAAATATCATTAAGAAGCTAGAAATATGAAGACACAGTACAATGACTCTGAACAGACTTTTAATGATACTATCAAAGTAGATCCATTAATATCATAACATTTCAGTTCACTGTATCTAATGAACACCTAAGATAAGAATGTTATTCTCCTACTGCTTCTTTATATTGACTTTTAGTTACACTTGCACTATCACCAGCATAAAAGATGGACACAACAACTGCACTGAAATTAAATTAATGCCCAAAGTAACTTCAATGCCCAAAATAAATGTAATGTTGCCTAATTTCCAAATCCTACTGTGTGTTTATATAGTATTGGTCTTCTTTCATATTAGAAACATAGCGAGTCAGAAGGAGCCTCCAGGGCCACCTAGTCCGACCCCTGGCTTTAGCCGGCTCTGCTCACAACATGCCTACCATGTGAATGTCTAGCCTATCCTTGAACACTTCCTCACCAATGGAGCCTCAACCACCTCCCATGGAAGCCCATTCCATGCCCTCAGAGTCCTGACTGTCAGGAAGCACTTCCTGGCATCCAGATTGAACGTTGGTTCCCTGAACTTTGCTCTGTTGGAGCGTGTCCTGCCTTCCTCTGCAGGGGAGAACAGGTCTCTACACACCTCCATATGACACCCCCTCACATACCTATATGTTGCCAAATTCTTTGTTCCTGGCACAGCAGCACAAATCTCTAGGAAAACTATGGTTAGAATCTACAACTCCACATTGCTCTATGAGAATAAAAATGGGTTTTAAAGAGATGACTTGTGAGAGTAAAAAGCAAGAGGGATGAAAAGCACACCAATAAAGCCTGGGCATGACTTTTGTCTTTTGGTAAGGGCTGGTGTTCTGCTGTGGAACACACACATTAAATTCAAAGTTCCAATTTAATTTGGCAATAGTTAACAGAACAGACAGAAAGTTGCAATAAGAGAGCAAGCCTGCTGAACTATGTTGAACAAGTCAAAAAAGCTGTTAAGATGCAGTGACAATATGTCTAAAGTGGTTTTATCAGGGAAACAGGCAGCTGATCGATTCATAATTGGTTAAGCAAGTCAGATTTATGTCAAGCAAAGAAAACATGCAAATACAGTGGTACCTTAGCTCATGAACTTAATCCATTCCAGGACTCTGGTCGTGACCCAAATTGGTCAAGAGCCAAGTTAAATTTCCCCATAAGGTTCAGTGTAAATAGGGTTAATCCATTCTGTAACTATTTTTTTAAATCAGAAAAATGTAAAGCAAAGTGACAGAGAACAACAAAGATCGTGGCCATCTCCCCCCCACCCGCCCGAGCGCAGCCATCTCCCTGCCCCCCCCCCAGCACGACCGCGATTGTGCCCGTCATCC